GAAGCAGGTGCGTGGGGCCGTCCGCACAACAGGAAGCAGGTGCGTGGGGCCGTCCGCACAACAGGAAGCAGGTGCGTGGGGCCGTCCGCACAACAGGAAGCAGGTGCGTGGGGCCGTCCGCACAACAGGAAGCAGGTGCGTGGGGCCGTCCGCACAACAGGAAGCAGGTGCGTGGGGCCGTCCGCACAACAGGAAGCAGGTGCGTGGGGCCGTCCGCACAACAGGAAGCAGGTGCGTGGGGCCGTCCGCACAACAGGAAGCAGGTGCGTGGGGCCGTCCGCACAACAGGAAGCAGGTGCGTGGGGCCGTCCGCACAACAGGAAGCAGGTGCGTGGGGCCGTCCGCACAACAGGAAGCAGGTGCGTGGGGCCGTCCGCACAACAGGAAGCAGGTGCGTGGGGCCGTCCGCACAACAGGAAGCAGGTGCGTGGGGCCGTCCGCACAACAGGAAGCAGGTGCGTGGGGCCGTCCGCACAACAGGAAGCAGGTGCGTGGGGCCGTCCGCACAACAGGAAGCAGGTGCGTGGGGCCGTCCGCACAACAGGAAGCAGGTGCGTGGGGCCGTCCGCACAACAGGAAGCAGGTGCGTGGGGCCGTCCGCACAACAGGAAGCAGGTGCGTGGGGCCGTCCGCACAACAGGAAGCAGGTGCGTGGGGCCGTCCGCACAACAGGAAGCAGGTGCGTGGGGCCGTCCGCACAACAGGAAGCAGGTGCGTGGGGCCGTCCGCACAACAGGAAGCAGGTGCGTGGCCGCCCAGAGCACAGGGCCCTACGTCCCCGCAGGGAGAGGCCCACAGTTGGCAGCCCCCGCGGCTCTGCCCCAGTAACCGCTTTACCAAGACCTGGCTTTAAATTCTTGCCTGGAAATGGACAGATGCTACCGCCAGCCATTTTTTAAAAAGATTCCTGATTAGGAATTTAGAAACCAAAGGTGATCTTTAAGTGGAAGAAGGGCCCTGGCCGGTTTGGCTCAATGGATAGAGCGTCGGCCTGCGGACCCAAGGGTCCCGGTCAAGGGCCCATGTCGGGGTTGTGGGCCCCAGTAGGGGGCGTGCAGGAGGCAGCCGATCAATGATTCTCTCTCATCACTGATGTTTCTCTCTCTCCCTCTCCCTTCCTCTCTGAAATCAATAAAAATATATATTAAAAAATTTTTTAAATTAAACTACCACTCTTTTAAAAAAATGGGAGAAGAAAAAGCTACGATACCCAGATATAACCACTGTCACCATATTATCACCCAGTTATTCTAACACTATTTAGTATCGTACATTAGACGTATATAATATAATATAATATTGTAATCTTTTGGGGTTCATATATGTAAAGGCAGATATAACCACTGTCACCATATTATCACCCAGTTGTTATTCTAACACTATTTAGTATCGTACATTAGACGTATATAATATAATATAATATTGTAATCTTTTGGGGTTCATATATGTAAAGGTATATGTGGAAATAGACATCCAACGGCTTATTTTTATGGGGAATTGGGTTTCCGATGCTTTAAAATCCACTGTTTTCACTCCCTACCC